TGCAGCACACGTGCTTTAACTAATACAAATTGTTTAGCATATAAAGTGGAAATTTTGACATCTATTAATGAGTATGGTTAATTATCAATTACTGAATATGGTAGTTACACGTATTATATAGACTGTGATATTGAGGAAGTGCTGCTTGTATCCTGGAAAGTATTTATTTATAATATATAACCTCCCTGATCCATATTGATATCATCATTTTAATATTGTACATGTACAGTAGATGTGTAACTAATAAATTGTCCATTAATTAATTATTGTTATTATTTCTTTGCCTCACAGTCTGTACTGAAAGGTCATTGGAAAGACTATGCCAAGTCAGCCATTGGACAAGCTGTCCTCTATTTAACTATAAAATTAATGAAGAAGCATGTAATGCTGACCCAGGAATGTACTCATGCACATACTGTAAGAGAGAGAGAGAGAGGGAGAGGGGAGAGAGGAAAGTAAGAGAGGGAAAGAGGGAGGGAAAAGAGAGAGAGAGAGGGAGGGAGGGAGAGAGGGAGGGAGTGAGTGAGGGAGGGAGGGAGGGAGGGAGAGGGATTGAGAGAGAGGGAGGGAGGGTGAGGGAGAGAGATAAGGTAGAAGAATGCATGTAGAGTATGCATTGTACATCATACTTTTATAATCTTATATTGCTATTTTCTATTTTGTTTCTTCCTATAGTTTTGTTTGTGTCTTAATTTGCTGCTTTGCGTGTTATTGATGAAGAACATGCATGCTGAAGCTTTGTCATCAGGATAATGGCTAGGACAAAATAGAAAACCACAACTAAAGCTAGAAAAAAGAGAGGGAGATGAAAACGTGATGTACATGTATGTAAAAGTAAAAGGTGAAAAATGAGGGAAAAGGAAGGATTTTTTCAGTTATGTTTAGTCTGATTTTATATTCAAGTTTTTGCTCCATCTCTCCATCATTCTTCCCTTCTCTCCCTCTACAGCCACTGTGTGATAATCACAATGATGGTGAGACTAAAGCTCTCATATTGTGTGACATGTGTCCATGCAACTGTGTACTTCATTATCACAATAAGAATCATCACCACAATAGACAAATGGGTAAAGGAACTTCATTGTACAATGTACACATACATAATTATGTACATAATATTGTAATAATGGTCAAAAATGGGAGAATAGTAATAGTAGAAGTAGTTGAAAATGCTAGTGCAGGCTAAATGTTCTTTATGTTGTATATGTAGAAAGTTTAAGCAGGTTCCGATCAATATTGGATTTTGGATTCACCTTAAACTTTTTACACAGCATAAGTACATCTACCTCTTTAACATACACACATTATTATAATCATTGTGTTCATAGCATGTCCTATGTTTTTAGAGAATGACTGAACATAATTATGACAGCTAGTGTCCATCAGGTATAGACAATCTAAGAGCTGATGCAACTCTGTCAAGATCACGAGTAGAGTACACTTCTAAGGCCATATCCATAAACATATTCTAATTAGGCGAGCCATTCTCAGCCCCGCCCGCCTACTCATTCTCCCCCCTGTAGAGGGATCATGAATTATAATTAATGAATGTGTAGTAATGCTAAAGAACTAATAGTGTACATTGTATATAATAACTGTTACATAATGTATGATATAAATAAGTGACACCCACACACACATGTTCTAATTTTGGTTGATGGTCTTTCCTTTGTTGAACCTTGGAGTAATAGATCTTTGTTCATTACTATAATACCCATAGTAGTCGTTACTACATTTGGCACAGTGAGCAGGATTCAAACCTGCGCGGGCATAGCCCATTTATAGTAGTCGTTACTACAAATACATGGGCTTGAAACTTTGTGGCATCATAGGAGCAGGTTTGGTTCATGGGTATAATAATAATATTAGAACTAAACTAGTTTTACACAATTTTACAAGTATAGTCTATTTCAAAAACTAAAAAAAATAATAATCATAATCTCAAAATACAATGAGAAGAATATCCTGCTATAGCTAAAAACTAAAACAAAACTATTAGAATTTAATCAATAAATGGTTTCATTTAGTTCAGTTATAATAACACTCATTGTTGGACGGCGTCTATACTCCACTATCAGGCAACGTTGAACAAGAGACCTAAACGAGGCTCTTCTAATACCATCAATAAGACCTACTCTCTCTTCTGGTAGAGGAATACGTCGTGTTATCATCTCTAGAAGGAGGACACCATAACTGAAGACATCCATTGAAGGTGAGTGTTCCCTTGGATTGGCAGCTTCAGGTGCTGAATAGACAGGATTACCAGGATTAGTTGTCGTGCCAATGAGAGGTTGAAGATTAGCTGATCCATAGTCTGCTACTTTAGCTCTCCATTCAACTCCCATTGGTTGAAGGAGTACATTAGCACTGCTGACATCTCTGTGTAGTATAGGATGAGGCTTGAAGAGATGAAGGTAATTGAGAGCACAGGCTACATCTAAACTGATGCTCAGTATGGCAGGATAGGCCAGTCCTCCAGTTTCTAATTCTTTTCTTAGGCTGGTTGGCATTAGCTCTGTCAGGATGATTGGATTACCCTCTGTAGTGGCTCCTATGAACTGAAGGAGGTTAGGATGACGTATTTTAGAAGCGATATTCATTTCACGAGAGAACAGTGATATGTTATATTCTGATATAATGGCCTCATGAAGTACCTTTGCAGCAACTTCCAGTCCATGAAAACGAGCTACTCTGACCTCTCCCCATCCTCCTCTGCCTAGAACCCTTTCTGTCATTCTAATATCATTTCTGCTAACTACCCAGGAAGATTCTCTCTCTTGTCTATCTCTCTCTCTTAGTTGCTGCTCTAGGCCTCTCTCTCTTTCTTGAGCTTGTTGAAGCTGTTGCTGAAGATTCTGTTCTATCTCCATGTCCTCTTGGATTTGCCTCTCTCTTTCTTGAAGTTGCTGGTCTTGCTCTCGAAGCTGCTCCTGAAAAATTTGCTCTCTTTGCTGGGCTTCTTGTAATTGCCTTTGAAGCTGTTGCTGTGCTCTCCTTGCTTGTGATTCCAGTTCAACTAGT